TTAAGAACATTTTGTTAAATATGTAAATCATAACAAAATGACTGATCATTTGAATTCAAGCAATTTTAATTTTCAACTGTACTTGAAAATAAAACTTAAGCTTAGGAACACAAAATGTGTTATGAAATAAGTCGAATTAAATGAGAAGTAATTTCAAGCATTAACGATAATCTCATTTCATTATAACAGCTTAAATTAGAAAAAATTTTAATATAAATATAAGGATGTAATCTCACAGCCTCTCTCGTTCTTTTTGTATTAATTTGATTTCCGTTTTTTACATCTACTCAAACGAGAGTATATGAAATGAAGAACTTGATAGAGATAAATAAAATTTTTCATAACAAAGTATTTAAAACAACAAAAAAATGGGGGGGAAATAGCGAAAAAGGCAATTAAAATTGTAATAACTTTTGAACGAATTAAAATTTTAAAAGAACTCACGTTAGCTCATTGAAAATGGTTTTTTCAGTGCGACAAATTCGAACTTTGTAATAGTCACATTTCAGCTACCTACATGGTGCTTTTTACTCTTAATTTTAAAGTTAATCATTCTTAAACTTATTATCAAATGTTAGATATTATTCTATTGTATTTCTTGCATATTTTACCACGGCCTATAGTAATTTATAGTTTCTAAGTCCTATAGTTTTTGAGTAAAACGAAATGTAATGTATAAAGTTGAACACACAAAACAGTGGGAACGGTGTCACTTACGATTTTTAAACAATAAGGTTATGTTATTTAATTTAGAGTCTATTAAAAATAATGTTAATTCTTTAATATATATAAATAAACCTGTTTCCACCCAGTACCACATTCTAGAATGATATCTCTTTTCGAAAAGGCAAATAACGCAATGATTTCATTAAGTGGTATTTATCTAAAGAAAACGACACATTTAACATATTATTGCTTTAAATGTTTATGAATACGGTTAGTCTTGACTTTTGAAAATAAAGAAGTAGCTAACAGACGAAAATATTCGCTTAGTTCAGCGTAAATATTGCTATTATAATATTACTTCTCTCATAAAGGAAATTTTCGTACGCTGTAATGTAAGAGGCTGAGGTAGAATGGATTAATAAATGGGTGCACTGGAATTATAAATTAAATGAATAATTATACTATTTATTTAATATGTAACTGTTCAATTTGCAATCAGCGTAGTCCACTGTATACACAGACACACACCTAAGAAAATTTAGAAAAACAATATGTTTCATTTACTGCGCATAAACTGCAAATAAATATTGTGTGCAAAACAGGCAATTTATGTTTCTTTCTCTTTTCTATTTCATTTTTTTTTTCTTAAATAAATGCTAATTTCTAAAATTATTAATAGTCAACTTCTTTAAATTATCCTGTATAATATTACCTTGCTCACATCCATTTTCGGGCCTATTCTCGGTAGCTAACAAATCAAACTTACTTCAGTACTGCAGTAAGAACGCATTTCAATACAAAATCCCTCTATTTACGCTTTTACCTTAGTTTGCGCTTTTGGTTTCATATTTTGCAATCTGACAATCTTGTTACGAACTTATTTTAAATCATTCTTGAAAAATTTCCCATTCATGTAAGTTCATCTGAATTCGCTACTCGCTTTATAGATTTCTTTTCATGTTTTATTCTGTTTGTTCTTTATATTTTATTTTCTGGTTTTACGTGATATTTTTACCTATTGTGTTAAATTTTATTTGTTGTAAATTTTTTTTGTAAAAAAATTTTTTGAGTGCTCCTCACATCTTGGCTATATTGATACAATGTTAGAAAGCACTCCTTTTTGCGGATATAATCGTGTGAACGGATGAAAAGATTATATCTTTTTTATTTTCCGGATTTTTACTTTTCTTCCCGGTTTCTTTTATTTTTATTTTATTAGTATTTTTATTTTCCCCCTTTTTTCATTGTTCTGTAATTTTTCCCATGTTTTCTCGACATTTTGAACTATATATATATATATATATATATATATATAATAAATAAATAAATACAAGTAAACACTAAGAAAGTTAAAAAAAGTATATACGTGTTTCACCGTAACATATATATATGTATATATATATATATTACGGTGAAACACCGGAATCAGGAGAATGTCGACATTCACGTAGTCGCTTGGTGTATATCAGAAATATTTGCTAAATACCCTTATTTCTGACTCTCACGTGAATGTCAACAATCACATAGTCGCTTTGGTGAATATCCGAAATATTTGTTATATCCAATTTTATATTAATTTTATATTAATTTATTCGTTAATTGATATATTTATATTTATTCTATATTTTAATACTTGCTGACGATAGATTGGAAGAAACAGCAGTGTTTGGAGTATCGGGCAAATATATACCGGGCAATGGCACTTGACCTTAAAAAAACATCAGTGTAGGGTATACCGGGCAAATGTATACCGGGCAGTGGCACTTAACCTTAAAAAAACATCAGTGTAGTGTATGCCG